GATGCTAGTGAATATATTTATATTTATGCGGCACTAATGATAAAAGACCACACATTGGTGCCAAACTTCATTTACCAGCGTCGAGTTAATTTTGCAATGAGATATGTCTTCCTGCAATGAGGAAATGAATAGAAAAACTTGTAAGTTAAAGTATACGTTTTGTTGCATTTACATGCTATTCTATCATGCAGTGAGTATGGATGAACCTTGTTTGGAACGATTAGCAGAAGATGATGAAGGTAATGAAGAAAATGAAAATTTTCATGGGATGGCATATGATTGTTTATGTATACAATGTAATCAATTGAATTTTTGCACACACTGAGCAACTGCTACCATGCTGTTGACAGAAAAAGCATTCAAGGAATTATTTCTTGCTATTTATGTAGACCTATATTAGTTTATAAAGACTACAACTGTTGACTGACCTTTAAATTTTTGAGTTAAAACAGAAAATTGTAGTAATTAAGGCAAAAATTACAGCAATGAATTTTGACATCAATGAATTTTTACTAAACCTATTTCCATTATTCAATATTCAATTAGATGAAATAGATTCTGACATTGGTCAAATTGTGTCATTATTTTCCGGGTTAAAGAATAAGTGTTTGAAAAAAGTGGAAAAAGAATTCAAGGAAGAAATAAAAGGTATAGTGATAGATGTGCAACAAAAGACATTTGGTTAATTTGCACACTACAGAGCTAAAACAACTATCAGCTGAGAAAGACAAAAAATTGAAACAACAATCTGGTACAATATTTGAATCAACTATGCTAGATAAGTTTATAAATATTTACTTAGATGAATTGCAGATGCTGAAGCAAATGAATAAAGCATTGATACTTGAGACTGAAAGATTAAAATCAAGCATTGAAGAAAAGAAAGGTAGAATATCTTTATAACATTGATCTAATGCATTATTTTTATATATGATAGTCACTGAAAGCAAGTTAATGCAACAAATTAAGAATCCTCAGATTAGAGCCGGTTGGTAGATATATCCTAAAATATCATTTTTATTTTTTATTAATTTTTTAGAGGAATACAATCAGATACGTTTTACAGGCTTGGCTTTTCATACTTTAGAATCCCTCGTGCGGCCTGTATTGGAAAATGAGGCTATAAAAGCTCTTAATTTACAAGCAAGCCCATTAAAGAACTTCGCCCACTGTTTCGCGTGCCTGATGACAAATAACTTTACCCTTACTTCGTTGTATCTTACACATGGCACAATTGATGATGAGGGGGTCAATAAACTTGCTCACTCACTAAAAGGTAATAAGACTCTTATACTATTATCACTCAACTCAAATCCTGGCATAACTTCTGCAAGCTGTCAAGAACTTGTTAAACTTTTACATGTCAACAAAACGCTCCGTTTTCTTTCTGTCTCTCACACTGATATCAATATGGTTGGAGCACGCTTATTGGTAAATTCTCTTGAAACTAATACTACATTAGAACATCTGGTATTGGACGAGCGGCACAGAGTATCATTTTCTGATGAAAAAAGGTTGAAATTTTGAAGACAAAATTGATTTTAAATTTTTGTTCAATTATTCATTTTTAATTTAATTTTATTTTATGTCTGTCTAAGTTGTTATACTCGTTGTGTCTTTAATGAGTCAGCTCCTGTTAAGAGAGAGCTAAAGTACATGTATTATCATTAAGTATCTTAATCAATTGAATGTGTTATCCTCCTCCTTTGTTCTTTTTCTCTATTTTTCTTTATTGGTACAT